GATGGAAACCCCAAGACCTTACAATTACCATTTGGATAATCTACCAAACGAAGGCTAAGTGATAATAATACACCCTAGGATTTTCCCATTTAGTTACGACAAATTTTTTTTCTCAAGTTATTAGCGTAATATGCAATGAATAATAGTAAATGATAGAACATTGTTATGGTGATACACCTCCACTGGCGGTAATTGAAGATGATAAGAAGTTACTATCATGTGATTTAATCCAAGTACAAACAATGGAACAATTATCCAGGGAAAACTGACCCTTCGTCTTAGTCCAAATTTAATCAAGGCAAAAACATGATTAGCTTCATTGAAAAAGTCTTATGCTAAGGAGGAAGAAGGGTACAAAAGTCAAACTAAACCTTATGCTGAAGAAGGTGGCAATTAGAGGTACTGTATACAAATACATGTACTAAACTTACTGATGAACAAGAGAGTGGCATATCTTGTCTTAAAATGGTAGGGGGAGGGGTGAATGTGGATTGGGGGAACTTTATGATTGTGAAGGGGTGCTAGGTCGCTAATGGTAAAATGAGGTGTATTTTAACTACTTCAGAATGTTTCTTTGCATCAAACATTTTCGAAGGTGTGACTGGTGAGGAGCAAGCTTCTTTTTAAGGGGGAGGGGGTGTGCTCCTTTGCGTACCCCCGAGATATGCCACTGGATGAAAAAAAAAGGAGGGAAGCCCTGTCCAAAAGAGAAAAAGAGGGCAAGTAGGTATTACATATGCTACGTGACGATAGCAAAATCTATTTTTGGCAGCGAGTCATGTTATGTGTATAAAACATCATTTAAGCTGGATCAACTTGGATAAAAACAGATGACAAATTTGGCAACAACAATGAATCTATTCACGAATGTGTGAAGCTTTACTACAAATTCTACAAGTGAACACAAAGCTTTTGACTAAATATTAGCAGGAAATACCATCCCCACTTTGAGAGCACCTGTCCTTGCAGCGTAATGCTTTAGGTTTCACAATCCCCTTCAAATTAAAACTTTGCAACACTCATATTAAAGTTCTCTGCTTAGTTTATTGAATTCATTAAATGAAGGCCATGTAAAATAATCTTTTCTAAAAACTGTTTTTTCTTTTTATTAAATGTGTGGGAAATAGTATTTTTAAAAGAAAAATTGGCAACAAACTTAACAGAAAAAGAAAGGTACAGGGATGTTAACTACACTACAATTACCTTGCCTGCATTTGCCTTTCCTTGAGCGATAAATGATATGATTGGTCCATGGTGCTAACTCTAAATTGGTAAATACTTAGAAAGTGTTGACTAATCAGCACACTTGTTTCCTGAATATGACAATTGTAGCAATTATTGAATGGAAAAATAAACAGACGCTGTCCTAAAGGCCAATGACATCTACAAAGATTCACAATAAACTGTTCATTTTTTTTCACTCCCATCCAGCTTAAATCAGTGGCATACAGTATCTAGGGGTGTTCGGGGTGTGTGTGCTCCCCCCTGCTAACAAAGCTCACGCCCCTCCAAGTGGCAAAACAAAAAAATTACGTATTTGATGCAAAAATAAATCTCATATCACCTTATGTTGCGAGCTAGTGCCCCCTGACTTAATCACTTCACCTTCACATCCCATCATCCCCCATTTCAATGAAAAGCTAAACTGATATAGGACGTAATTTGTATACAATTCTGCCCACTCACACAATAAATACTTGTAGTTCGCCCTCCAATTGGAGACTGAAAATCTGGGGTGGTCTCGGGGTTCTGTCTCCACTTTGAGCGTTAGCTTTGTGTTAAACAATAAAAATTGTTATTGGTTCTTTGAAGTGGTTTCAAAAGTGGGGTCTCGAATTGGAAGTTCCGCTGTATAGTGACGAAAAATATTGGAGAATTTTATGGTAGCAACATGTTTATAATAAATTAAATGACAATGGGTACGCTATAACAAGCCAAAAATAAAATCTAATTGTGGACGGCAACAGCGGAGGGTGCCGTTTGGGTAGTGAAACAAGGTATAAAAAAGTATTCCATGAACTTCGTGCAGAATTTCCAATGGAATGACTTAACCAATACAGTATGTCACAGAAGTAATCAAACCATTTTTTAATTTGTTCCTGGTGCATGCAATATTTAAAGTCCTACACACTATTCACAATAAGCAAACAATAAACCTAATCATTATTTATATTTAGCTTTAATAGTGGATGTAAATTCTTGTTTAAATCATCACATTGTCTAGCAATTTAAATTTTCCTTTGCTAAAGTGAGTGGAACACGGTGTATGTCATTTTCAAAGAGCATTTCAACACAAGAAAGTGAATTCATCACCGTTTCGGCAGAGGTTAATTCTCATGGTCAATATTACAAACAGTGTGTGACCACAGTCTCGTCAGCACACCACACACTGACAGAAATGCAGCCTGCTCAATACTAGAGGTCACGTACAGTTCTGTGTTACAGCTGCGGTGTTACAGCTGCAATGGGCTAATCTGCAACTCATTGCTAGTATTTATATTAATGATGAAACATTGATTTACTATGTATGGTGACTGGCAACACGTGGGAAAGTGTGACTGATATGGTAAAACAAATGTGGAAGATCATTATAGCATTTCTGTGATTTGCCAGGGCAGTGGAAATGCAGGACCAGTGGCGTAACAGCTGTGAGCTCTCACTGGGTAAAACCACGGGCCTAAGGCCTTCAATGGCCCCAGGATATTTATCAGCATTTTTTGGCTCTGAGTGGGGCCATGAAAAACCCATCAAAAATTCTTTTTTAAAATTCTAAATACGCCAAAAGTGGTCTGGACTTCCCCCGACCATGGTAGTAGGGCTCCCGAAGAAGCCTTAGGGGGATTCAAACCTATTTGTAATACCACTGTGCATGGAATTCATTTAAAGCATGTTTATACCTTTAAATATTGTCAAGTTGAGCTACTAAAGTACTTCAATTTTTTTATGCTTTGCGCTACCATCAAGAGGGAGGGAGTCCAGTCAGGGCTAATGCCTACGGGGACACCGAGACAAAACAAATGAAAATTGTAAAAATAAATAATATTAAAATGCAAAAAAATGTTTGATCTACTCTCATGTAAATGTTTGAATTATGAATCTACATGATACGCCGAACTTAGGGACTAGGCCTCCACCTTGTGCTCTGCCTATGGACCATGCTAGGTGCCTAGTCGGTCACCAAACCCCACTTTTGTAATAATTAGATTGACGGGTCAGAGAGATTCCTCCACCACTTACCAGTGGCCACAATCAGTTCTTCAACGAATACAGAAACAATCATTTGTCTGCTAATTGGCAAGAAAAAACATACTTTCTCATTCTCATGTTCTATTAACAGCTAATACCTTGCTGAAATTTGTGACTGACTGTGGCAAAACTTATCATCAATAACAAAAGTCTACAATTCAGCTAAAATTCCTATTGTACTGACTATTTTAATGCATGTCGGACAAAATAAAAATTATCATCTTCACAATTTTTGCATCAATTATCTTATAACCGCTACAGTACAAAGATATAATAAAGTCATTTTTCTTTTTTTTGAGACAAGAGATTATCTTTATTGGAAAAAAATCATCTGGTTCCTACAGTATATATGTAATGTGGTTGAGCCTGTTTATGCTAGAGTGGGTCACATATAAGAAAAAAATAAACTTTAAAAGGTCATCACAGTTATATATCTTTCAGAAACTACATGTTTTGTGAGTACATTTTTGCTTATTTCCTTTCTATTAAAGAAAATCAATCATGAGAAGTAATTCTTCAAAAAGAAGATAGAAATCTTTAAATCTCTGTACACACCCACGCCAATAAGATTTTTTAATGAAAAACTGGTAAAATTAGCCAACGCTGAAAGTTTAATGGATCTTCATAGTCTGCCGGTGAGAGAGGGAATTGATGAAACAATCTATTAAATCTTCTCATTTTAACGGAAGCTATACTAAATCAGTCTGTTTGCATGGAAGTCAAACATGCAGATTATCTGATGCAGACAAGGTATGTGATGTTAAGAACATTCTAGTGTCTGTAGGCTTTATGGTTAATCTTCCAGCCTTTGGGAAATCACTAGTTTTTGATGTTCAAAACAATAGTTTTTAAACTTTTTTTTTCCATTCATTGATCTGTGTGAAGTTGTAAGCCATAAAATTAAAAGTTTGAAATAATTAATCTTTATTATTAAAGTAATTTATTGCCTTTTAATTAAAATAAAAATTTAAAAAAAACATATTTCCTTCAAACTTTTGTATAGATACATACAACATGTTGGTAAACAATTTTTTTTTTTTTTATTTAGAATACAAATTTATATGTCGCCTTTTACATTCCAGAGAATATACAAAGGCACTGGCATCAGTGCTTCCCTGGTCACTGGATACTTAGTTTGCAAACCAGGACAATTTTTTGCAACTTCCTCTGCTCCCTGGGGAGTATCCCTAGTGATGCTGCTCTACACACACAACCACATACGTTCAATGCCACACCATCCTACCAGTTACCCACTTATACTCCAAGGTGGAGAGAGGCAAACGTAAGTAAATGTTTTATTTAAATGACAAAGACAGATGGCAAACCTTAATGTCCATGTTGCAAGTACTAAAATATTATTTGTTATTTTCACTAATACTAGAATATTGCTCAGTGACTATAACATAAATCCACCCTGACTGTGGAACAATAGTTATTTGTTTATAATTTCATCTTTATGTATTTCTTCTTTACCTGGGATACCTAGTATTGTTATTCTCCAGCACCCAGCAACACATACAAATTAATACAAAATATAAAACAGTACAATATAATTGTTATAGCCAATACTGTACACTTGCTCCCAAGATTAAAACAAAACTAAAAAAACAAGGTGATTAAGCAAGCATAAATTGTGCTAATGTTTAAGTAGGGCACCTTGCACAAAGTCAATGGCACTTCTTAACTTTAGAAGAAAAAATATGGCTTTTGCCACAAAACACAAAACGCTATTTGATCACTTTTGAGATACTTACCCAAGGCGAACGTCAGAAAATTCACGAGTGCAGTCGTCACCATCTGTATTGGAGCAGTACATTGGCCGGTGGCCGAGGGCAATCACCCATGGCTGTTTATCTCGGTTCTGATTGGCTTGAGTGAGATCGGCCTGTAACCACTGGTACTGCTCATCAACTGGGCCACTAGTGAAAAAAACCTCAGTTGAGTAACTGTAAAATAAGGAATTTTAAATTAGTTTTAAGTGAAAATTTAACTTTTATGCAATGATGGATGTATGGAACTGCAGCAGCGCTAAAATTGCCCAACAGGAAAGGGGCTAAGCTGTCCAACAATAAGGTCTGAGTCTATAGGCAAAGCCCTGGTGGTGGCCAAAGGGGGAGGGGAAGTAACTCCTAGAAAAACTGACAAATTCTAGGATTTTTTAAACTTGTTTATGTTTTAAGATTATTTTCTCCTTTTTAATTCGACAAATCGTGCCAGATGCGATTGTGCTTGGCCTGTCTGACAGGGGGCTTAATACCACTACCATCCCGTGTAAATCCGAACGTAAATTTTAAAAAAATATTTTAAACCCGAAATAATATATTTTATACAATCCTTCCAGTGAGACTCCTTCTGCGGCAGAAGCTTGGGTCGAAGCCTTCAACTATGAAGTTGGCCTTAAATTTGGAAGAAGATAATAATTAAAACCAAGCTTGTGCAACACAATGTTTTTTTTTAAATCTGATGTAAATCATAATTACTGGTATTATAACAATACTCACATGACAAAGTGAACTTTGCCCATGTTGAAACTGTACCACATCTTGTTCAATGGAATTGGCCAATCAGTGTTCGGCATAGAGAACCTATAGCGGTAGTGGTTGAAATTATGGGCAATTTCTGAAATAAAATAATTACACAAAAAAATTGAAAATTAAAGACAAAATATAAAAGGTAAAGGTAAAGGTAGGAGATAACCCATAACTTGCAGCGTCATTGTGCTGAATTGCGTATGGGCGTGGTCCGTGACTACCTAGCAGCCATAAAGAGGCGCTTCTTGGTAGAAACATGTTAACATCATTCCACAACGACAGGGGCTGAAATGAACCATAACATCGGGGTAACCCCCTACACTTCTGAAAGATGCAATGGGTTCTTTAAAGTGCACACGAGCCAGATGTATACACTGGACCTCCATTTTAAGTCTTTATCCAAGAAGACTTGGTTCTACCAACCGAACCATGGGCGAGGGGCGGCTGGAACCAGCGCCGATGTTAAGGCTGTAGTTAGCGACGCCCTGCCTTACCGCTCAGCCACTTGACTCAACCTAAAACTATACAGATTCAACCAGAATTGAACATAGAGAAAACAAACAGGATTTCAATGAGTAACAAATAAACTCTTCCTTGCAATTATCCATAATGAGGAAAGATTGTGAAGGTTATTTATTTCAATGTTCCCTGGTTTTATTGGGTTAGAGTACCCACAAAATTATTGTGAAATGTGAGTTTTCCATGAAATGAAAATCGTTAGTGGGGTCATATGATTAACCAACAATATAGTTTATAGTCAAAATGTTGAAATTAACTTTTATTACAATTTTTTATATAATTATTTTTTTTTTTTTGCAAAAAACTTTCTATGCAAAAAAAAAATATATAATTATATCTTTCATTCTAGTACCGACCACCTGTCGGTGTATTTTCGTACTGGATGAGGGCAGGGTCTGTGAGATGGACCAGTACACCAGGATAACCCCCTACTTATCGCGAAAGATGTACTGGGTTCTTTATAGGGCACATGAGGATATTACTGTATGTACACTGGGCCTATGGTTTATAGTCCTTATCCAAAAAGACTTGCTCCACCTCCAGAGCAATAGACGAGCCTGCTGTTCGAACCAGCACTGATATTATGGCTGTAGGTTGCGGGCCCCTAACTTAACTGCTCAGCTATTTGACTCGAATGTTTAACTTTGAGGCTGCTTTTCTCAAAACTATAATAGGTTCCAATACATCTAAAGTTCAAAAGCTCACATTTCTGAATCTCCCATGGAAGTCATACAAAGTCCAAATTAAAGGTTAATGTGACCTATTCAAATATAATTTAAACACAAATTTTGATTTTGCACCCATGTGACTCATTTTGAGGCGAGGCCTTGCAAATTGGAAAGAATTCCTGGAAGAATACAAGCTAAACAGATTAAAAACCTGTTGTGTAAATTTACACATAATCATTGATTAAAGTGAAAAAAAATGTAACACTCAAATGCAGCGTCATGAGCTATAATCGACGACCAGCACTTAATAACAGTAGTGTAACCTGGGGTTTTTCTTTATTAAACATGAAAAAATAATAGTAAATTAATGGAAATAATTGACAAAGTCACTTCAAACGTTAACCAATTTATGGTGTAGTCATAGCCTATCCCTAGTTTTACTACTTGCGTAAAGTTTTATTCAGCACCCCCTTCCCCCATTTTCAAAACCCTGGATACACCACTGATTAGAGGGAGGTATGAGAAAAAAGACGTCAGCCGCCACACCACCTATGAAAACTTGTTTCTGTGAGGGGGAACACAGACAGTGTGGGTATCAAAGTAGCAAATCAGATTTCACTGGGCAATTTTAGCATTAGCCAATTAACCCTGAAGCCAACTTTACTTTTATACCTCTCGCTTTTTCTTATACCTCTCTCTCTCTCTCTCTCGGCATGACAGTTCATACGTCCCCTTACTCAACTATAAGGAAATTGGCGGATGATCTGCATAGCAGAATGCCTGATGCAAACACCGGCAAACGACCTTTAAAAAAATTAGGTATGGCAAAAATAAATAATTATCTCATTTGTACAATTGGATGAAAAATTTTCATTTGATGAAAGATTGAATATGTTTACATTTGTAAAATCCAACATTGGCTCATTGAAAGAAACATTCCATATTTCAACCTCACGGAATATTCTTTCCAATTACATTCATAACTATTCATTATCTGTTTAACATATCCTAAAATGTTAGGCCTATAAAGCTACCGTACATCTGTTACTCTTTCTAGTGTAATGACCTCCCCAATATCCTGGGTTCAAAGTATAAAGGGATGTTGATTTGTCAAGGGACTGTGACACAGTACGGGGAAATCTATCCTGCAAGGGGCGACATTAATCCTATGGGAGGTTGACTTTGGGTGCGAACACTTACAGCTTTCCCACATCTTATTAAATAGGATGTGAACTATTGGCCCCGAGAGCATCTCCGTGCTTGGATGAGAGCTTCTGTCGAGAATTTATCTTTCCTAAAAAGCTCTCAGCATGCCTGGAGCTACTAATGGTTAATTATAAAAAATGATGTTTCAAGCTTGGTTGTATGCCCATTTATGGACATGATGTGCCTATATTGTATATTCCTGGCTCTTAATAGGCAGCCCTTAAGTTGGCCCATGAGGGAAAAGAATTTAAATAAAAAATATATTTAAAAAACATACTAAAAGTTAGATGAATACATTTTCAATAACGTAAAGACAAAAATTCAACCCCTGAGCAATGTGAACAAAAGGGGATGGTTTTTAAAATTAGCAAGATGATATAGACCTAGGCCATAAACAGAATGGAAAGTGCAAAAATCGGGTGATTTCCGTGGTTCTATTCTTCACTGTGTGTTGTTTCGAACAAGCAAAAAAGAAAAAATGTGTTATGATGTAAGGGTGACCCCATTCAGAACTACAGTATTAAAAAGCTCAAAAAATTGGTATTTCTAATAGCTCTGATAAATTTGACATAGCAATTGCAGGGTCCCGATGCCAGATTTGAGACCGATGGTAGAAAGAATCTCATTGTTTAATTACCCAGGTAAACACAACTAAATTTTAGGTTATTTTGCAATAACTTCATTGTCAATAACATTCGTACTTAATATGATGACATTAAACACTTAGTGAACCACAGAACAGCTTATAAAAGTACATTTCGATTGTCCCTTTAAATAATTAAAGTCCTGTCTCTGTGTATTGTTCTGATCACTGTTTCGTCAATAGCCTTCTGTTCAAATCATACAGTATCAGCATTAAACCGACTATAGTGCCGTCTCTGTATTTTCTTCTCTTTACTGTGATTTGTTAATAGCATTTTGTAACTTTACAGGAGTAATAAAAAGTAATATGTTCTATATGCATGAAACATTCTGTATTTAAAAAAAAAATATGTAGAGAATTAAAGTGTATGGTAGGTTTTTGTATTCAATTTTTTGTGACCAATTAAATTGATAAAGAGATTCACCAAATTTGACTAGCAACTATTGAATTGATGACACATCCACACACAAATTTTTCGCAACAACCCAAGTTTGGGTTATGGCTGCTGGTGCAGGCATGGTACAATTAAAAATAAGTAGTTTTCGCCGCACAACTTTAACCTTAACTTCAATGTTAGTACCCAACATGCAGCGCGATAGCTCCGCCCATTTTTGTAAACAAATTGAAATACGTAACTAACGTACGTCGAGCACGTAAAAATTCTGAAATTAACGTACTCTGCGTTAAGGTTAACGTCGTGCGGCGAAAACTGCCTAGTATAATATAAGATTGCAAAAAACCTTTCAAATAGATCTAACTTAGCAGAAAGAGTTTTACCCAGATGTATAACGATTGCTCGACGGAGATTATCTTTGGCTCATGAGATCAACTCAATTGGCTTTCAAACAAATTAATTAAAAACCAGGGCTACATATGGTCATGGTGTGATGTCACCATAACCATATTTAGGTGTGTCGCATGTTTTTGTTAAATAAAAGTTGATAGTCTGGAAAGGACTTAAAAGGAAAGTGAAACATCCTCTATGCCAAGATAAGGTCAAACTCAGGTCAAAAGGAGAAAACACATCTGGAGCAGAGGGGTGATGATTGGTGTAACAGCCGACTAATATGTGAACTAAAAATTAAGCATTTTAATAAAATATGCATCTTCTGGGATTAACATTAAAACTAATAATGTTATTACTTTTAACCTTGTACATCTAAGCCATCCTGGTACTGAGAATTTCAGAAATAACACTACAAAATACGATCACAAGTTAAATTTTGAGTGATGATGAGTCTTCAAAGCCAACTGGATTCTCCTCAATTGAAATATATCGAGAAATACACTATTCAAATTTATGTATTGTAATATAAAAAAAAGTACAATATTAATAAAAAGAACTATACCAATAAAAACAACTCAACTTCATGTCTGTTGTATAACATTAACAGAACATAGGTTTTTCCTCATTGCCATAATGAGAAATGATGCTGGAATTATAAAGTTGAAACATTTTTTCACAATTCAGTTTTTTAACTGCTAGTAAATTATGTTGGTTATTTTTGTTATGTTTTGTTTTTATGCATAAAGATACCTTGATATATCAAAAAATATCATTTTTTAAAAAAATATCATGAAAAACAACTTGACACAACTGAGAATCCAAACTGCATTATACTGATGAGTGTTATTAAGTGAAGTGTTCTACGTTATCTGGCTTCAGTCTTCAATTAGAGGTTTTGTGTCAAAAGATTGAAGATTGTTATTGGTACTTTGAAAAGTTGTCTCAAATTCAGACTGCCAACCCTTGGGTCATGAAAATCTGGAGATTTTTTTAAGAATCTTTAAAAAAATCTGAAGGTTTACCAAAAAATCTGGAGGTTTCCAGAATTAACAAACAGATGATGCAAGATACCAAAAAATCACGTCACTACAAATCATTGGCCATTGGTGGTGACATTCGAATTAAAAATGGCTGCTTGTTTATTGCACTGCGAAGCGAGCAAGTGGCGAATACATTGAATAATAACAATCAAATCAAACAAATTATGCATAAATCGGAGTATTTTTGGGGAGGTGGGGTGGCCTGTGAAATCAGGTGAAAATTAC